CTTCACATGACACATTGTTTTTTTGGTACATGTTCAACACCACTATCTTCTTCACCGTATTATATTCCCCTCCCTCTTCCAATTTAATAAAATTCACTGGGTTCAGGATCTACTTCGTCTTATGCACGTCCTAGTTAGAGTCACCCAGTGCCGGTTCAGTCCCTACATTTCCAAATTCCATCCGCCCGCAGGACCCAAACGGCCCGTGGGGTCTTTTTCTTATTTGATGGACCGAAACATTTCTTACCATTATAAAAATCTTACAAATTTGCTAGTCCTCATTTCTTACCTTTTTTCATTTTCTTTATTCCATCCCTTGTTATTATAAATTTCAGCTATGACTGAGTAACTCGATTTGTCCATCTGTTGTCTCTCATTGCCAAATGACCAGTTCAGCTGTTTTTGGCATGCAGTGCCTCCATATAGCATTGTTTTGGCCGGATCGGCAGCAAGATATCCATTAGGGATATGAGCAGCATCGACTGACGCCTATCAAAATGTTGCTTTCAGCGCATAATCGTATAATTTCAGGTACATTTTTGTACGCAACGGATTTAAGGGGCAATCTGGATCTATTAAGAGGTTCTTTTTTCTTTTTTTTTTTAATAAAAGATAATTATATGTTTCTGAAACAGACAAATTGGGGTGAGTGCGCGGTGCAGTGGAAACTGAAGTTCAAAAGTTCGACTTCATGGGCAAGTCAGCTCCATCCCAATTTATTCACTTGTTTCGATAGTAAATTACTACTGAGACACATTCCAGAGGACCACCATCAGCTTGCTTCTAAGCAGTTCTCGAAAGGCAGGGAATGCTGGCCTTTTTACCAGCGAGTGGTTGATATTGGCACATGCTCTTACTCAAGCTTTTTACCCCATCGCCATTCATTCAATAGTAAATTAGTACTGAGAAACATACCAGAGGACCACCATCAGCTCGTTTCTGAGCAGTTCTCGAAAGACAAGAGCTGCTGGCCGTTTTACCAGCGAGTGGTTGATGTTGGCATTTGCTGTCACTTAGGCATTTTTGCACTTGTCTGTCATAGAGAATGAACTGTAATTGATTTTGGATAGTTTTTCACTTTGATAATTTTGTTAAATGTGATTTTGTAGTACAGATTGCACTCCGTTCGATGGCTTTTATAGCCGAAATTACATTTCCTGATGGTCAGCTTGTTGGCGGTTCTGGTATCCGTGATCCGGCCTCCTTCTCCTCCCCTCTCAGCACCTCCCTTGTCCCCTCTTCGCACCCCCGCTTTCTGTCGCTTCTTTTTTTCGTCCATCCTGAACAAATTGCTCTATGTATAATTCTTCTGTGTAGCTTGTTTAGCCTATCTTTCTTTTTTTAGCAACTCTGTA